ACTGGGGATGTGCCTCAGTGTTAGAATGTATCCCTAGCATGTGCAAGGCCCTGGATTCCCTCCCTGGTACCACCAAAAAAAAAAAAGGGGGGGGGCTTATCGTCGCTTCTAGATCTTCTCTTTCCTTGTTTTTGCTATCCTGTTCCATTGCTACTCCACTCCCAGCTCTTCTCCTTCCCTGGAGAGCTTTATCCCTGTAGGTCAGTTCAAGAGGTGGAGGAAGCCGCGCTGTTTGCTTGCTCCGACGGCACATTTAGTGATGGCAGAAGAAGCTGCCTCGTAGTGGCAAAGAAAGAGAAACCAGTTGTAGAGTGCGTGTTTCCACATGTGGGGAAATCAGTTGTTGTTAAGTGTTGGTCTCAGGCTGGGAGTGTAATTCAGTGGTAGAGACTTGCCTGTCGTGCACAAGATCCTTGGTCCAATCCCCAGCATCATAAAAACAAAACAAATTATTTGTTTCAAGTTCCAAGGAAATAACAATAGCATTGATTTGTGAGAATAGCATTGATGAGTGTGGGTATTTCTGAACACAAGTGTCAGGATCTAAAGTAAGAAGTGTTGTTGTGGGAGAAAGGGGGACTCCTGTGTTTTGACAAGGGTCACTGGACATGCTCCCTCTTCTAGGTGGAGCCAGTGGACTTAGTCTGCACTAGTGTAAAGCCCCCCTGGGTTTGAGGATAGGATGACAGGAAGGTGCTGGAGGGCACCACCCTATCCTGGTGATTAGGGTGGGGGCGGTAGGGGGGTGCCCATCCAGTTGTTCATTTTGGAGGGCATGGGCACAGCCTCAATTTCAGAGGAGACTCATGAGGAATATTTGTTACCTAAAAGATTGGGTGCTGGGCTTAGTGGTGGAGTGCTTGCCTAGCGCGTGTGCAGCCCTAGGTTCAGTCCTCAGCACCACATAAATAAATAAAATAAAGGCACTGTGTTCATTTACAACTAAAACTATTTAAACAAAAAAAAGGTTGGGTGCTATATAAAGGGTTAGTTAGAGCTCCTAAAATGGGAATCTCCCTCTTTTTCAGGATATTAATTGCAGAAATGTCAAGGAAAGGGGCCAAGGAGGGAGGAACTGATATAGGAGAAGCTGCACCACCTCTGTGTGCTCGGAGTCTGTAGTCAGAGTCGCTAGGCCAGAACCCGGCCCGCTGTCCCACCGCTTACCCAGGCTGCCTCACCATTTGTCTTTTCCTTTAAACAGGGCAGACCTCCTTACGCTGCTTCAGCGGAAGAAGTGGCCAAAGAGCTGAAGTCGAAATCCGGGGAATCCAAGTCCTCTGCCGTGTCTTCAGACGGGTCCCTGGCTGAAAACGGAGTGATGGCCGAGGAGAAGCCAGTGCCCCAGATGAACGGGAGCGCGGGTGACACCAGGGCCCCCAGCCACTCTGAAAGTGCCTTGAACAATGACTCTAAAACGTGCAATACAAATCCTCACTTAAATGCACTAAGTACAGACAGCGCCTGCCGCAGGGAGGCTGCTCTGGAGGCAGCTGTCTTAAATAAAGAAGAGTAAACTTATTTTTTATAGAGGGTGAAGGATGCTGGAAGGGTAAGGATTTAGGAATATCTGGAGAGAAAGAGAGCCTGCAGTTATGTACATTTTGTCCTTTCCGTAAGAGAAAAATGAGGACTTTGGAAATTCAGATCCCTCTTTGATATCAGAGATTTAAACAACACATTTTTAGTTTTAACCAGTTGTAGTCAAAATGCTACAATAAAACAAAAAAGAGAGAAAGAAAATGAAGAGCATTTGACTCCCGCATTTAAAATGAAGTACACACAAAGTTTAAACTGGTTATGACAAAAGCCTATAGTTGTATTTCTTGAACTATAAAGAAAACAAATTTTGGCAGTCTTTATATATAGCTTAAAATATAATTTTTAGCATTTGGCACCATATGTATGCCATTATATTTGATTTTGCATTACTGTTTCACAATGAAGCTTTGTTTAAGGCTTTGATTTTTATGATTATGAAAGAAATAAGACACAACCACAGTTTTTCTTTCTTACTTAAATTTCATCACCGTTGATGTGGTTCTTTTGTGTTAAAAAAAAAAGTGCAACTATCGAAACTAAAAAATTATAGAGTAATATTGCCGTTCTGCTGATTTTAAATATACAGTACATCATACATACTTTACAAGCAAGTTAAATGGAGATAAAGTTGAAATCATAGAGATGCAAATGACCTTTCAAAATCAACACAATGTGTTCTGAAACTTCGTGACTAATACCATGCATCTGTGATCAATGAACTATGTGGTTTTGAATCGGACGTAGACCATTAGTATACTACTTGAGCTAAACTTCTGCATGGTTCATAATTTTTAAAGTGTGTAGTTAATATTATGCATGTTATTGTCCTTTCTTCCATTCTTACCAGTATGTGCCCATTTGCAAAACAAAAATGCTAATAATCAGTAATAGTCCTATAAAAGATGTTAACTCTGTTTAGTCATTGACTGATCTTGCTCTAACCTTAAAATTTCGTGATTATTGACCTCTGTTGCATTTATTCTAAAATCCCCCAAAAATTATCTAGCCGTTTTCGAATATCAACATTACCCTGGTGTATTCACTGCTGTATGCATTATTGTTCTTTGTTGCTGTTTTATGCCTTCATATTAGCAAAATATGAAATTCTGTGAAGAAAAAAAAACCCTTTGATCTTAAAAAAAAACCACCCCCCCTTCTGTAGCAGGAAACAAATTGCTTGTTCTTGAAAACTTTCCCATCAAGAATTTAGTAGAAGCAGGTATACTTCTATCATTTTGATGTTTTTGTTAATGTTTCCAAACAATGTACTTTGAAATCAGAATCACTTCTTATCGTTTTCATATACTTCTGATGCTCTTCATCACATTAGTGATCAGAAATGAGG